GACTGCATTATGAATCATCTACTGTAGAGGAGAGAAACCAGCTGGAAGGCCACAACAGCAGTTGTTGCAAGAGATAATGGGGCTTGAGCAAGACTGGAGATGGAGAGAAATGAGAGGATAAGAGGCATATTTTGGATGTGGAGATGAAGGTGCTGGAAAAGATGGTGCCATTTGCTGAGATGAGGACAACTGAGGAGACGGAGGTTGATGGAGGAAGTGGAGACCAAGAGTTCTGTGTCAGTCATGTGAATTTGACATCGTCCATCAGACCTCCAAGTGGAACAGTCTGGAGTCCAGTGGAGGAGTCAGAGCTGATGGACAGCTGGGAGTCATTAGGATATGGATGGTATTTAAGGCCATGGGACTGGATGAAGTATCCATGGAAAATATAATGACAGAAGGGAGGAGAAGAGTTTGGTCTTGGTTCAAACCCCAGGGCAGTTGACTATTCCAACACTGAGCCGTCATAAGTAAATTAATAAATAAACTTTTCAAGACTCTTATTCAAGATCTTAGTCGAGGTCTTTGACCTTGGTGAGTTTACAATCTAACGTAATGTTTTAAAGGGGTTATTAGTATTATTTCTTTAGTGGCAGCATATTCCCTAAAAGAGATCTATGGCTGAATCCAAATCTAAAGGTGACGATGTTCTGGTTGCTGCTGGGGTGGGGTTGGGGGCTAGTCGGAAGTCCCACCACTGAGAGTTCCCTCAGGTACCTCCTCACCAACACTCACACTCCAAACGGTCTCTGAGGATCCCCGCGGAGCTCTGTGGCTGCGTGAGAGCAGTGAACAATCCGCCAGCTCTTTCAAGTCTGCTTGAATGTCACTCTTCAACAAGACACCTTAGAAAAATTGCACTTTCCCCATCCCCCCCTTGGCTCTCCTAAGACCTGCAGCCTGCTCTTTGTTTAAAGCACATATCAAAGACTAACATAGATGTGGTTTACTTATTATTTTTTATTTTGTTTCAATTGTTTGTCTCACCTTGCTAGAACACAAGCCCCACAAGGGCAGCAATTTTGTCCGTATGTTGAAGTTTCCTCTACATTTATAAGTAGTGCCTAGCACATGGCAGCACTCAATAAATATTCCCTGAGTGGGTGAATGAGCTAATGTTACAGAAGAAGCACTTCCTTAGTGGACAGAGTCTTTTTTTATCCCTCAAATATTTATTGAAAATCTAGATAATCTACTCTCTGCCAGATAATACAGGAAAAATAAAGACATTTAGAAAATTAGATTTTATATAAGGCTTTGCCTTATTCTAGGTATCTTGGAGAAGTCGGTAGTGTAATTTCTGATTCTAAAGTAAAGTAAGCTGGCCCTGGTGGTCTCGTGGTTTAAGACCCGGCTCTCACCGCCGAGGCCCAGTTTCGCTCCCCGGTCAGGGAAGCTCACTATCCATCTGTCATTGTCAGAGTGTGGTGGCTGCGTGTTGCTGTGATGCAGAGAGCTATGCCACCGGCATTCCAAATACCTTCAGGGTCACCGTGGTGGACAGGTTTCAGTGAAGCTTCCAGACTACGATAGACTAGGAAGAAGGACCTGGCCACCCACTTCCAGAAAAGCTAGCCATGAAAACCCTGTGAATAATGGAGCATTGTCTGATACAGTGCTGGGAGGTGAGAGGATAGTTGCCCAAGGACTGAGTTGCTAGGGACTGGAATCCAATCGGCAGCACTAAGACAACAAAGAGAAAAGAGTGATCTTTCCTTTCCGTTTTAAATTGGCACAGCGGTGGGCTGGGAGAGCAGGCTGGGTTTCCACTCCCACCCTAGAATGGCATTCTGAGTCCACCCCCTGCACCTAACTTTGCAGCGCCTCTGAGCAGAGCAGGCAGGGCATTCCTCTCTGACCAGGGCTTGGCCCCAGGGCTTGCCTTGCCCCACTGAAAGTGAGCAGATGTGGTTTGAGCAGAGGTCCTCGTGGTGCTTGCCCGGTCCGGCTCGTCCTGGGCTTTTGCCATCTGCCATGAGATGCGCAAGTCCCCACCAGACACCTGTCCCAGAATGAGAGACAGGGAGAGCACCCTGAACTCAACCCGAAGTCAGGAACTGAGCATCCTGCCACTCCACAGACCTGTGAACAAAAAGCTAAGGTTTGCTGCTATAAGCCACTGAGATTTGGGGGTTGTTTGTACCAAGAATTAGTGCATTAAAAATCTGACTAATATAGCCACAAATAAACATAACGAACTTAATAATTGCGGCTCTCCTTGCTGGAATTTAAAATGAAAAGAAAATTCCACCTTCCATTAAAATTGGAATTAGAAGGCATTTCATGGTTTTTAAAAAAACTTCCTTGAAGGCAAGCACGCTAAAAAACTAACACTGTGGTATATTTCCTAAGGGGAACATGATTTAAGAAGCAATTCTGACAAAGGCAAAATGATCCTGCAGTGAAAGAGCAGAGGGGCGGGTCTGACTGGACTATGCGCCCTCCCTTGAGCGAGCGGGGTACTCAGTAATCGCCTGGTGTGCCTGCATCCAGAAAAGGGGGACGTCGGAGCAGACGGTTGCTCAGGTAGCCTTCTGCCCCAACATCAGATTAACCGTTCTTACATAGAAGCAGAAGAAATGTTATTATGTCGCAATAGAAGCGAAGTACTCTACTGACAAATGGAAACAATTAAGAATTTTTTAAAGAGTAAAAAACACTCCAAGCAACTGAATTAGTCTGCTATTATAAATAGAATTTAAAAAGCAAACGGAAAGAAAAAAGACACCCCCAGACTGAACTTCATCCAAAGATAAAAGTCTGGTAAGTAAAGCAGGTTATTCTACAGAAAGGCTGGTGGACGTTTTTCTTTGATAAGAAAATAAATGAAGAAGCAGAGTATCATTTTTGTTTATAAGAATAAACTTTTGAAAAATAACAGGTGACTAGGAAGCAAATACGTTGAATGTTACTCTTGTCTAACTTCGATGGGGCAAACGCCGGGTCAAGTGGCCGGGCGCTTTCTGTAGGGTCCTGTTCACTCTGCTTAGAGTGGCTTTGTGGAACTGGTACCCTGGCCTCGCCAAGCTTCACTCAGGGCTGTGTCCAACATCCTGGGGGGCAGGGGGGACGGGGGCAGAGCTGTAGAGATGGTTGCCCTCTGAAAGGCAAACTTTATGCGAGGAATTCCTCTTTAGCTGTTTTTTTTCCACAACTCCTCTTCAAGAAAGACTGTCTCAGTAAAATGTCTTGTCTTTTCCTGCTCACTTTTCACAGTCTGCCTTCACCCAGCAATCTGCTTTGTTCCGTCAGGGAGCCCTGTCATCTCTCAAGGCAGGGAGAATCATCAATGGCATCTCACTTCAACAAATTAGCCACAGTGTTTATACTTCAGGTCCTGGGGGCTGAGCTTTCTTGCAGCTCAAGAAATTCCCAGGATTTTTCCAAGTGGGAGGGTTTTAATCCATTGCATTTTACTTCTTTAGCTGAGCATACGTTATTCTATGTGATCCAAGTGAATGCTTTAAACCCAACTCTTGGAAATATTCACACACACACACACACATACATGCTGTCATCCATTGATGCAAATAAAGAAGCCAGGATGATGCAAGGGAAAGAAACTGATCTGACAGGAGACTTGGAGACTGCCTTCTAAGCTCTGGTTCAGGTGAGCCGGTTGTGTGGCTTCAGGCCGATCTCTTCTCCCCGACTATCTCTTTCCTCCATGGTAAAATGAAGAATGAAGGAGTTGGGTTGGATTATTCCTGATAGCTCCTCCAGCTCTAACATTCTATAACTTTAGACTTCTAATTGTTGGCTAGGTAGGGATGACCTTTCTTAAGACAAGGAGGTAGGAAACCAGCATGAATCAGCTCAACGATCAACTTTCAGCTCAAGCAGGAGATAACACGTGATGGGGGCAGAAAGATAGCCCTGAGGGACCCACAAACCCTTGCCTCAATTCCCACACGATGTTGCTAACAGCTACAGCACAGTGCTGTCACTGTGTGACTGTGTGTTTTATTGTACTGGTTCTCATGCAGAACCCGAAGGATGTGGTCTCCGCATTTGAAGAGCTCATATTATAGGTCCAAGGCTAAGGGACCAACATAGAAAAACATCCCAGGCAGGGGTGACCTAAATAACTTCCTGAGGCTCCTTGCAGGTCCATGAGTCAATGTATAGGAAGAATGAGCTTATTAATCAAAAAAATGCTGATCTGCTCAATGTCTAATTATACCTGTCACTTTCGTAGCCCACACCCCAGCCTGACATGGTTTCTCTCTCTGAAGTCACAGACCGGTTTTCAGTCGATCTGCGTATTTTCTATGTGACACGTCTCTTCCCAGTGACAGTTCAAAATTGTCCAGAGAAACACGAAAACCTCTCTATAGCACACCCCAGCACCCCAGACCACACAAACCTTTCTCTCCTCCTCTCCCCGCCGCAAGCAGCTTGTGAAATTCGCAGCCATCTCTCAAGGCCAAGCTCAAGTCTGTCCTCCTCCAAGAAGACTTTCCTGCTCCCCTCCCTTCCTTAGACCCCCGAGCTCTCTGTATCTTTATTATTTTAGCACTTACTTACCTGAGTCTGTCTTATATTAAAGTTATTTTACGCAGATGTCTTTCCTATGACATTCTGAGCTTCTAGAGGGCAGAAATAAGTCTGATTTTTCTTTCTATTGTCTGCAGCATCCAGTAAAATGCTTTGCACATAGTAGGCACTGAAAATTGTTCCGTGAAGTATAAAAGGTAGGAAATGAGTGAAGCAGGAAGTAACTCTTATCCATTCTTTCGTTTTCAGTAGCAAAATGCTTTGTTCACAAAAATGCTTTTTACATAATTCACTACACAGTGAATTCTAAAAATTGTTGGATCACTTATAAATGCATTAAATGCAAAAATACTAAGGTAGAAAACCAATTAGCCTCGTAATTTGTTCGTTTTGCACATTAAAATAAATTCAGTCTATTTAATCAATGTCAAGAATGAAATTCGCCAGTAATGTTCATTTAGAAGTAAATGCTTCTTTCATTCACCCAATGAATTCATTTATAACGAGTCTCTACACACTTTAATTTGGAAGGAATGCATGTTTTTAATGAAACACTCAGAGTATTTAATTAATCATTTACAACAAGCTATAAAAGACATGAAAAACCATCTTTCCATTTAAATGACTATTTCCTAGTATAACAAACTTTTCCACTTCTGCTCTAGACAAGCTACAGGAATTTCTCTTACAGTATTTTACATTTGTCAATTTCACCATCTCCTCATTCTTTTTCTCCTTTTTTTCTTTTTTTGTGCTCCATCAATTAAACCAAATCAAAGGCTGCTGCAGTGATCTTGGTCTACCTCAGCCTCTCTCTGCTCCTTCCTCCACTTCACCTAATGTCATAACATCCCTCACATACACTTCTTCAAATTCTCAAAAGTATTCTCTTAAGTTTGAGCTTTATAAACTTGTAGAAAATTGTCATATCTTACCTAATTGCCATTTTCCACACCTCTTTTCTCTGCTGGGTTCTGTGCAGTTCACTAAAATCCAGCCCTCTTTGGATAACCTTTGTTCCTTGCGCAAAATTAAGCAAGAAAATGTGCTTACCATCTATATGCTTTGCCCCTCCCCCCAACAGTGCTGTTATAAAATGATAGAGGTCGTTTGGCAGAACCCAACGCTTCATCTGCTGGTGCAGAACAGGTCTGTTGGAGGAGGGTTCCATTTTGTTCTAAACAAAAGACAGAAATATATTTCAAATCTCTGACAATGAACATTCCTTCAACAAATAGCTGTTCACTGTTCACTGCATTATCTATTATGAGACAGGCACTGTTTTAAAAAAGTGTACGGTCTTGCTGGGGAGAGAGATTCCCATCAAATTTTTCAATACAGTGCAGTCAATACTATAATAAGGTGACCTTGGGCAAATTGCTCTCTGCCTCAGTTTCTGCATCTGTAAGTGGGATACTAAATAGTGCCTATTTCAAAGGATTCCTATGAGGATTAAATGAGTTAATATTTGTAAAGAACTTAGAACAATGCATTGCACGTGGTCAGCCCTATAAAGTGCATGTTAAACAAATAAAAGCATACTTAAATTTACATAGCTAAAATATGGCAGCCCCGTCCAAGTAATGTCTAACGTGAATCCAAGGGGGCGGGGTGGGGAATCCATTCCTATTGTTTCCCACCAGCTGAGGTTCTCGTCCCACCTCTTCCCTTGGCCTTGACTCCTGTTTATTTTGCTCAGCTGGAAAGACCACCATGCAGGAGCTCTTCTCTATTGCACAGTGAGTGCTTGATAAATATTTATACTAGAAATAATAATGATGTATATGGAAAAGAATCGCTCCATCATCTTGGAATTGTAGCCCCTGCCAAAAAGGAGATGACTCCAAGCCACTCGGCTGTGCTCCACGGCAGATTAGGAGAGGAAGTGAAAAACTCAACTTGTTTGGGGATTTATGATGAGAAATAGTTCTGGTAACCAAAGTCTCTTGGATCCAGCCCAGACTGGTAATCCCACTTGGATATATATTTGGGTGTTTTATCATAAATACAAAAAAAAAAAGTCTCTTTGCCTGAGATACTCAAAGTGTGTGTGGTTCACCGGAATCCTCCTCACTCCCCACCCCATGGGGATGATGGATAGATTGTGAAGAGAGAAACTGATATCATTAAGGTCTGTACCCCACACTGCAGACCTCAATTCTCCTTGCCTGGGAAATTTTGGTACCCGGGACGAATATAACATGTGACAGGGATAGGCATAGCCCTCGTTGTGAAACAATTTGCCTTCTCTCATGCCATCCCTGTGCTGAGTTTGTCCTCTTACTACCCAAATTCTCTTCATCCTTCTAGCCTTTTATAAAATATCCTTCCGTCTAGGAGGCCTTCTCTGGTCACCCCAGCTGGGCGTGCTCAAGTCCTTTCCTGAAATCTTCGTGTCGCTAACAAATTGCCCTCATATATAAAGTCTGTGTGTCTGTGTGTCTGCACGTTCATTTCCCCTATTGAGCTAATGCGTTCACATTGTCCTCATCTAGCACTGCATTTTGAACGTAGCAACATTGCTCAATGTCTCCGACTGCTAGCTGCCTACTCTGATATCCTTTCCTCCCTTTTTTATGTAGAAACTGATTTTTAGCCAGGTCTCTTTCTCTCTATTTTTAAAATTTTAATATAAATTAGATAGCTGAAAGTTTGCCATACTCCTTGAGAAGTAGATGCGGACTTTTGTGTAAGTGCCTGACCAATGAGATAGAAGCAGAAGTATAATATGAGACTTTCAGGAAGTCTCCATGCAAGGGAGGGGGCATGCCGTTAATCTTCCCTTCTTCACTCTCTGTTTCTTAGAATGCAGATGTAATGGCTGGAGCTCTGGCAACCATATCAGATCATGGGATAGTAGTTAGGTACTGAAGTGAAAGGCTCAGCAAAGTCAGAAGCCTTGGTCTACAAAGTCTCTATGGTGTCACCATTCCAGCCCAGGACTCCCAACTTCTGCACTTACTTTGCTTGCGAGAGAAACACTTTTCTATCTTTTCTAAGCCACCATTTTGTTGATTTTCCTGTCATATATAGCTGAACCTAATCCTAAAGCATGGATTCAACAATCATTTTTATTAATTTATATATGATTATGTGATTATACTCACTTTCTGCTTTATAATCATTTATTTAGATTTTTAAGTTTATTCACTTTTAATTACTAGACTTCATTTTTTTAAGGACAAGTTTAGATTCACAGCAAAACTGAGCAGAAAGTATAGAGTTCCTACATAACCCTCCCCCTCCCACACACACACACCCGGCTTCCCCACCATCAACATCCCACACTCTGTTTTGTTACAATCTGTGAAGCAACAGTGACACATCATTATCCAAAGTCCACAGCTTACATTATTGGTACTCTTTGGTTGTACACTGGTTACGTTCTATAGGTTTTGACAAATGTATGACTACATGTATCTACCCTCGTGGTATCATACAGAAGAGTTTCACTTCCTGAAAATCCCCCGTGCTCCACCCGTTATTCTCCCCTTCTCTCCCTGCAAACCCCTGGCGACTACTGATCTCTTTACTTTTGTAATATTGCCTTTCCCAGAATGTCACATAGTTGGGGGTCATACCATATGTCATCTTTTCAGATTGGCTTCTTTCACTTAGTAATATGCCTTTAAGTTTCCTCCACGTCTTTTCATGGTTTGATAGCTCATTTCTTTTCAGAACTGAATAATATTCCACTGTCCGGATAACACCACAGTTTATTTATCCATTTACCTCCTGAAGAACGTCTTGGTTCTTTCCAAGTTTTGGCAGTTATGAATGAAGCTGCTATAAACATCCGAGTGCAGGTATGCGTGTGGACACGTTTTCAGTTCCTTTGGGTCAATACCGAGGAGCAGGATAGCTAGAGGGTACGGTAAGGGTAGGCTTAGTTTTGTAGGAAACTGCCAAACTGTCTTCCACAGTGACTTCCCACTGGCATATCTTCCTCTCCGCAGATCCTAAACTGAAAATCCAAAACCACTGTTACTGGAAATGGTACAACTCAAAGGCCTGGGAGAAACTCTTCTCTAGGGAATATATCCATTTAAAAAATAGGTTTATTTCAGAAGTTACTGTGCTGATTTCTCTTCTTGAAGAGTTTATTCTTCTAAAGGATGTGAAATTTGGGCAGCAATGGTGGTGAGGAGGGGGGAGGGTTGGATTCCTTTGGAGATTAACTAAATTTCTGCGTCTTCAATAGAGCATGTCCTGACATTCCATACGTACATTTTTGGCACTGCTCTGAGTCAGTCAGCCAGCTTTCTTTCCATTGCTTTACCGTATTGAAGAAGTTAGTCACATCAGAACAGACAAAATAGAAAAGTAAAAGGAGTTCTCTGAAGTCAAAGAAAAGATAAGATTATGGGAAGTAGGAGAGAAAGGTAAAGAAACATCGTGTGAAATATGGAGCAAAGTTCTTTCCTTTCTCAGGTTGAATATGACATTGATGCTCGCTGCTTCCTCAGTAATGAGAAGACAGTTCACAGCCTTAGGCTCTGCCAACATGAGCCGATGGATTATTCTCGGACCACAGTCAAGCAAGTCGTGGTCTTCTACCTTTTCCAAGAGGAGTATGCCAAACTACAACTGTGAACATCAGAAATTCGCGATAACCAGAGGCCACAGGCCACGTGCTTCTTCAGGGTTCTGTGCGCTATTGGAACACATGGCCACCTTCTCACTGGATGTATTTACTTAGAAAACTTTGGGCTGTCACAGAATATCCACCTGAAAGTGGCTTCAGCAAGAGATCGGGGTACATGATCCCAGGGTTGTAACAGTGGCTCAGTGATATCATCACGACATCAAGACGTTTCTGCCCTTCTATCTTGTCAATCCTACACTGGTGCCTTTGGTCCTCAGGCCCGTCATCTCATGGCCACAATTCCAAGCAGCATATTCTTTCACAACGACATGAAAGAGAAGAAGGGATAGCAAGAAAAAACAAACAAACAAACAAAACCCCCAAAATCCTCTCCTCCCATATCTCTCTCCTTTCATCAAAAAGGAAAATATTTCCTTGAATCCCCCCAGCCAGAAATGGCTAGGACTGCTTGATGTAGCCAATCCTAGGGGCAAGAGAAGGCTGGAAAACTGGATGCCTATCTGGAATTTCAAGTTTTAATCATGGGAAGTGGGCTCTGCTAAGGAAGACAGGGCAGGAGAATGGGGTTATATAGACAATGGTGTCTACTGTTGCCGTAAGTTCAGAAAGGTTGCAAGGGTTTCTTCAGAAAAGATGTTTAGGGTTCTTCCCGGGATGCAGGACTGTCACACAACCAAATAATTCAGACTTGAGAAAAAAGTCAACTAAAGTCATCAATAAAAAGATACCCACCATCCCTGATCTGATTGATTCTGCACTCTAACCTTAATAGAGAAAATCATAACACTGAGGCATTGACAGGTTATAATCTGAAAGCCTAATCTTTTGTACCATGAGGCTGGTTTTGCTATTCCTCTTCCTGTTTGTCTCCCATACATCTTTTTCTTAATTCTTTTGGTCTCAGATGGGACTCACTCTATAAAACTTAGCTCTCGTTGATTCCCTGGGACCCAAATGTTTTTCACCAAACCGCTGGAGTTGAATGTTTTCACAAAATTTCCCATAGAAACATAGAGGGTAAGAACTCACCCAGCCCAATAAAACCTGCTGTCTCCTGTTCCAGGACCTTCAATCATCACCAAGCTCAGAATACTGCAGCTCAAAAACACACTTAAAAAAAAACAAAAAACAAAAAAACAAAAAAAACCAGAAAAACACACTTTATTTTTCTGTTTAAGATGAAAGGAGTATTTTGAAACAGTTGGTACATCAAGATTGGGTTCACCTTGCTCAAGAGTCTCAACTAATTAAGATGATCTTACCTTACCTTGCGGAAACTCTCCAGTTCTTTTTACTTGCTTGAACAATGTGTTGGTTGGGAATTTAAACTTCTTCCCATGCTAGGAATGCAAATACTCTTAGCTCTCATAAAATGATCTTCCCTTAATAAAAGAGCAGAGAGATCACCCACAAAACAAAATACTTAGGCTGGGTTCAACTTGAAGAATTGAAAATATTTGTGTTATCTTGGTTTTCAATAGGAGTTGCCCTGTGGGATCAAATCGCTATTTGTCAGGGCTAATATCCCCACCTCCTGTTTAGCCAGAATCAGATGTACCAGAGAAAAGGAAAAGCAAAATAAAGAGGGAAAGTCAAGCTTATTGCACCTGGCCCATTGTGTAATATCCCACGCCGGACTGCGAGGTGGGAATTCCTTCTTGCCCCTCCCTCCACATGTGATCAATTTACATCCTGGAACATGAGACTTCATTTCCTTGTGTCTTTTTGTTCTAGCTCACATAGCTTTAAATGCTAGTCATGCTCATAAAATTATCTAATCCTTCCTCAAATCCTACTCTCCCCTGCCTTAGCAGCCCCCTGTGTTAGGAAATGCCACAGGTTGACTAAGCTGGCTGGATTGAATACAAGTTGTTTGATTTGCATCTCTTTTTCTCTGTTTATTACTATTTTCTATCTTCCAGTTGCTCTGAATGTGCTCTGTTCTTATTTGAATTAAGCTAAAAAATAAATGCAATTTTTAAAATTCCCTGGAAGTCCCCTTCGATCTTGGTTAAATGGGCTTATTTAAGAATTTTGTTGTCCCCAATGCTAGCTGAGAAATATACTCTAAGAGGAAGTGAACAAGCTAAGCTAAAGTGGAAGCAGGGTGCAATGGAGAATTGAGGAAGTCTCTAGAACAGCCTTTCTCAGAGTATGTTACAGCATACTCTCTCCTCCTGATGACTTCTCCAACCAAGCGAGAGTTCCGTGGTCAGATGTAAGGGACACGCTGCATACCCTGTCCGTGGGAGCCTCCAACCCATGAGTTAAAGGCTCTTAGAGCTTGGCAGTAAATAGGAAACTCCTGGTCACACTGGTTTAACCCGGTGTTTCCCAAACTCATTTGTTCTTGGAACTCTGTTTATTGGGACATGTATTGACTTCATGTGGAACCAACGTTTGAGAAATACAGCATTGCCTAAAAAATTCAGGCAAAACATCTTCTTTTCTATAAATAATTTAATCTTTAGTCATTGCTCTGAATTATTATAGCGTTTATGCCTAGAAGCAAAAAGTCAGTAAGCAAGAGAGGAAAGAGCACAATATTTGGAGTCAGAAGATCTTGGTTTTAGCTTAGATCAAAGGATGAAGTTCAGTTTTTTAGATTGAGACACAATGATAGATATACTACTCATCCAGATTTGTAAGAGGATGGGATAAGGCAAGGAAGTGAAGGGTCTTGGGGGAAAGGGAAGCATTAGACAAACGTTCTTTACTGTGTTCTACTATTTGCTTGACACTTAGAATATGTTGTCTTGAATTCTTTACTATTTATGTAATTTTCTGGTATTAGTTGTGGTAGGGTTATTGCAGGAACAAATAATCCACAAACCTCAATGTCTTTCTATAATACAAGTCTTATCTGTCTCACTGACACTGTGCATTTCAGATGTTTCTGTGGAGGTCATTCTCTTCGTTGGTTCTTCCATAAGCAGAAGCTCAGAGACCCAGGTCCTTTCCATCTTGTGGCTCTACCATATTGTGGTTTCAAGGTCACCCTGGTCCTATCCAGCCAGCTGACAGCAGGGGAAGCAGGAGTTCAGGGGGAAACACACGAAATGATTTGGGGCCTGGAAGTGGCGTGCACCACTTCTCCTTCATTCTGTTGGTTAGGTCTAGTCATATGAGCCTTCTTCAGTGCAAGGGGTCTTGGAAATGTGGTAATTCTGGGTCCCAGGAGGAAATGAAATAGCTGCATAAATACACAGCATTGTCTCAGGCACAAGGCCTGATGCCCAACTGGTCTATAAGCCCCTCCATTCCGAATGTTTGAGCCCTACTCCCAATGAACATTAATGATAATAATGAAGTAATTTAAGCAAGTTTGTTTTTCTCCCTGAATTATTTACAATGACCTCAATCAGTAAGTATTTGGGACAAAGAACTTCCAAGTCACTGGGCACAATTACAGAGAAAGCACAGGGAAAATACTCTCATGGAAATGCAGTCTGACGCAGGAGAGAGAACCCACATAAATATGTCTAAACACCAACTACAGACTCTGCCAAGTATTCAAAACCATCTGCAGCTGTGCAGGGGAAGCATAAATCTGCAGAGAGTCCGAAAGGCAGTAGAGAAGAGGATGAGCTGGATGTTTGAATTAACAGGAGCCAGGAGGAGATCATGGGAGAAGACTAAACTTTATGCAGTATTTTTCAATGGCATATAATTTTCCTAATTATAAAAGATATGAAATCTAGAAAACAGTGAAAACTACAAAGCATTTTTAAAAAATCACCCATAATCCCAATACGTATCCACACTCCATGTACATTCTCTGTGGAGAGGATTGTAATTTAGTTTTTGAGGTAAGTTCTTCCAATCTTTTTTCCAAGCAACATTTTCCCCCAAAATATCGTACTCTACAGATTTCGTGGTTCGTGTTTGAAAAACTCACCAATCTAGTCTGAACAGTTCCCAGTATCCAGAAGATGACTTTTAACTGCCTGCGTATTCAACTACGGTTGGGTGTGAATTGTTTCTAATTTTTCAATCTTATAAAAAACAGTGTGTTGGACATCTCTTGGCATCCATCTTTGTACACGTCTCTGATTATCTTGCGTTGCAAAAGAATTGCAATAATGGGGACTAACATTTGTTGAAGTTTATGACATGTTTATCGTGAATTGAGTTCCTTACATGCAATATCTCACTTAATCCTCAGAACAACTGTTCTGCCCATACTATTATACCAAGAGGAAACAATGATTTAGAAGGGTTAACGAGCTTGCCCCGCATGGCACAACCAGTACATGGCAGAACCGGGATTTGAGCCTGGACTGGCTGACTTCAGAGTCTGAGCTCCACCCACTGTGAGAATACTCGGCCCTAGGAGTCCACTTAAATTCTCACTAGTAGATTAACCTCCATGGAAAGTGACAGAGTAATGGATATGGCCTGAGAAGAGGCATGTATAATCAGGAGGAATGGTTTATGTGATGGCTCAGAGAAGAGAGGGGGTAAAGTTTTATGAGGGATCTTAACTTCTGCCAGGTTGAAGCAAAAAAATATGAGCTAGTATGTCCAGGGAGGTAAATTCGTTTCAAAGGAAGGTCTCCAAGCCAAAGTTCAGGAGTGTTTAAAAATTATTTAGAGAGACAATGGGAGTGTCTGTCCAGTAATACAAAGGGGAGTGATGTCAAAACAATACTCGATAAAGATGTACTTTGTTTCATTCTTTGATTTAGGAAACCGGCTTTCAGCTTGTGGAACGAGATAAGATCCAAGTTTCAGAGGTTCTCTTGGAGACCTTTTGTCATAATTTTCTCCTCGTCCGACATGTTCTCTGTGGGAAAGCAACTTTCTTCGCAGTAGCTGTAGAATCTGAAAGGAGCCTGAGAGGCGGGACCTTGGCAGCCTCTTCCATTTCCAGCCTCCACGCAGGGCCACCTCCCTGAGTGCTTTCCAAATCCCAGATGGAGTCGAGGCAGGAGTGACTGCTGACAGGAGACAAGAATGCTCACCAGAGAAACATCAGGGCAGAGCAGAGCATGATGGTTGTGAGCGCAAGCTGTGCCCTCAGATGACCTGGGTTCAAATGTTGGCCCCACCGCTTACCAGCCATGTGACTTTGGGCAAATTACTTATCTTCCCTGTGTCTCAGTTTCTTCAACTATAAAATGGGGTGATAACAACATCTACTTCATAGGGTCGCTGTGAAGATTAAATCAGTGAAAACAAGTAATAAATGTTAGCTCTTATTATCTCCACAAGGTAAAGCCTGATCGCTTGACAAGTGTTGCAGTCGGCCTGCTCCCCCCAGCTCTTGGAACACTGCAGGTCTCAATAAGTGTGTATGGATTCAAGCTGGGAGCCCAGGTCGTCCTAAGCCAGGGAACCCTTGCGCCTGAGGAACAAACACCCCTTTATTGAACATCCCAAACATCGGTGCATTGGATCACAGACAGACTCCCCCTAACACTTATCCGTTCTCTTCTAAACTTTCTAGACTGTGACAAAGAGGCCGAAGGCCAGCACTACCACTTTCTGAAGAACACAGAGAGCCAAGCCAAGTCCCTTCTGCTCCCCTCTCTTGCTGGGCCTCACCTCCTTCCTCTCTCGCAGTTCACTGCTTCAGCACTCTGCTCACTCGGGAGCTCGCACTCTTTTCCTTCTTCCCCAGTTCTTGAAGTTGAACGGGGGCCAGGGGCCTTTCTCTTTCTGTTTCCCGCTTTAGCCATCAGCGATCAGCTGGAATTAGACAACCAGAGACCTGGTGTCACCTAGTTTTAGAGTCTTGAAAGTACCCCAAAGCCTTCTACAGAAATTGCTGAAAAGTCTTTGTCTACTATCTCAAAACGCTACAGTGAAAGCTATTTTCTCAGATGTTAGCGTTTAAAACATGTATCAATCAATCAATTACTTTTGTGCCAATTAATTAAGAATATTAAACTTAAAATGAAAATTTTAAAATCCACAACAGTCTGCGACACTGTGGGTTACACAGCACTGACAGGACAGTCTGGGAACTCGCCCCGTGGGGAACATTGCTTCTATGGGAAAATACTCTCTGAATTCCAGACAACCCATTTACCCACTAACTTTTGGGATATGACCCTTGAGTAAATTGAGACTGACTAAAAATACCAAATATTTTTATGTGTTTTTTATCAATGCATTAAAAACACATTCTTTGATTTTATCTTAGCGGATTGAAGCAAATTCTAGCCTCTTCCGTAAGAGTTACTTTCCTGACCTCCAAAGCACCATTAAGAGAGGGCTTGTGGGTTTTCTGCAAAGAGAGGGCCTGGCTATCTTAATTAGGTTACTGTGTGTAAGATCGATTATTTTGAGACAGTAGACAAACAAAATCATTCATATCGTTGGCAGGGTTGTACGAATGATTTCACGAGGGTGCACCACTTTCGGGTTACATAGGACAGATGCACGCAGTCTATGTGAGAACGTTGGGGAAGTATTTTTGGCTCTTTTTTCCAAAGGCACATGCTATGTGTGGAATTAACTAGAATCCACTTCTTTAATTATTTTTTGTTACCCGCAAAATG